GTTAGAGGCACAAAGTGACTTTGCGCGAGCTCGAAAGCTCACAGCATATATTTTATGCATAGCACGACGTGTAAAGGGCAAGCAAGGTAATCTCCCTTCCCTCACAGCAGATATGTTAGACGAAGCTTTGATTCGTATTGTTCACTGCCTTCAGCAGCATTTTTTCGCAACGGAATTTCGTGAGTTAAAGAAGACAGGAGCAGTGCCTGCTTCAAGTAAAATAGAGTCGCTAGGTGTCTTCATTGACAGCAGCTATAGCGTGGCCATATTGCGCGTTGGAGGCCGATTGAAAAATTCGGAATTGCCGTATGACGCAAAACATCAGATATTGCTACCAGGTAATAGTGGGCTTGTGCGTAGTTACGTACGTTTCGTTCACATAAGCAACATGCACGTGGGCACTCAGGCTCTGATGGCCATCATGTTAGAGAGTGTTTGCATTGTTCAACTTTGCGTTCAACTCAGCCCAGGGTTGCACGAAAAAAAAAGTTGAATAGCTAAATATATCAAAATATGATAAAATATCAAAATATTCGCCATTAAAAGGTGTTTGCATTGTTCAACTTTGCATTCAACTTTTGGTTGAATGGCCTTTCAACTAATCGCTTTCAACAAAGTTGGTCGCCAGCCAACATTTAGTCATTCAACTTTTTTTTCGTGCAACCCTGCGTTGAGTTGAACGCAAAGTTGAATAATGCAAACACTGCTTTACAAAGATTTTGGATTGTTCACGCTAGGAGGGTTGTGCGATCTGTAACGACACAATGTGTGCGCTGTTTTCGCTGTCGGCCAAGATTAGCGCGTCAAGTCATGGGTGATCTGCCGAAGGAACGAGTGGTCGCCGCTAGACCTTTGCAACGACGGGCGTAGATTTTTGCGGTCCAGTAACAACAACGTACAAGCAGAGGGGGATGCGTGTCACAAAAAGTTATGTTGCGGTCTTTATTTGTTTCGCAACAAAGGCGATTCATATGGAAGTTGTATCGGACCTGACAGCGAAAGCTTTTGTTGCCGCATTAAAACGATTTGTAGCTCGTCGCGGCTTATGTGGGCAGTTGTTTTGTGATAATGGTACGAACTTTGTTGGAGCGCGAAGAGAGCTAAAGGAATTTAGTAAAGCGTTTCATGAACAACAAACGCAAGGTGAAATTTCCAAGTACTGTGCAGCTAATAACATAAATTTTCATCACATTACCGCCGCGTTCGCCACACTTTGGTGGCTTATGGGAGGCGGCGGTAA